AAAAAAAAAATTCAAAATATATGGTAAGTGTATATATCCTAATATCTAGGAATATTGTTCAATTTTAGTGTTATTTATGTCTTTTTTTTCTGTATACTTATAGACTTATAGTATATTTTCTAGTTTAATACATACAAAATACATGATAAGAATTATATACGGAAGATATACAAAATATATACTCATTATATACAATATATAATGAAGTTACTAACTAGAAAGTTACAAACTCGGGATATTAAAGTATATTATTCATGCACATATACATGTATATTCGTGTCATATATTCAATTCGCATATACACAGTTTTGAAAACAACTGTAAGTATATCATTCATGCACATATACATAACATAATCGAGTTATATATGTAACATATACTTAACGTAATAAAAAGTTTTGATATATCTGCTTCTTGCGTTCGTCCTCCAGTATCTCCCTGCCCGATTTGAAATCCTTGCTCGGATCAACGACGACTCTATTCGCCCTTGCCTTCACGGTGAAGGTGTTCGCCTGAACATGGCCGTTGGTGTCGGAGCCCCGATGGGTCTGCAACTCTATTTCGTTGTACATCGTTGGGGCTACAAAAATCGGTCAAATTTCAATGATTGCGCATATCACAAGTGAAAAAAAACAAGAGAGAATGAGGAGAAGAGGATAATGGGTCGTTGAGAGAGAGAGAGAGAGAGAGAGAGATGAGGTGGTGAGATAACGAAAAAGAAGAGAGAAGGAGGGGAAGAGAAAAACGAAGAAGAGAGATGATGAGAAATAAGCGTGATTTGGGAGAGAGAAACTGATAGGTTTCTTTTAATGCTTGCATTATTTTCTGGTATATCTACAACTAAAACATGATTTTAGATAAAATTACTAATATTTGTAATAGATGTTTAATTTTGTAATAAAAATTGAAATTTATGGTGTAGAGAGTAATTTTTTCATTTTTTTTTTAATCCTAACCCAGCCCAACAAAAATAAATAAACAACTAAGGTCTAAATATACTAACTTTCTAAATCCTCGTACGTCCCAAGACCCTGCTCGTTTATTAGTCACCTCATCCTCGTAACAATTATTAAGACTTAAAAAAAATTGTTCTCTTTTTCGGTTCTTCTCTCCCGTCCCGACTGGCCGACTCCCCCTCAAGCCTCCATTGTTGGATTTACAATTTCTACAGCTGACTGCGTTCACCTTCACTCACCGGCCGCCGAAGTCGGCCATCCGATTCACAAGGTACCCCCAAAAAAAAGTCTTTACTTTACAAACCCTAGATGGGTAGTTTGTGTATTCTGAAGGGAGAAAAGTAGCTTATGAGGTTTAACTATTGTGTGAGACATCCATTACTGAGTGCTTGTTCTCGAAAGGAAAGAGAAATTTGAAGCCTGATTGATTTTTGGAGAGTATTACTCCATATATATATATGTGTGTGTGTGTGTGTGTGTGTGTGTGTGTGTGTGTGTGTGTGTGTGTTTCATATGAGCCGCATTCGAGCTGATTTCTTGTTCCTTGTTCTCAATTTGGGGTAGTTCAGCAAATTAATTAGGTCTTGGAAAAAAAAACAAATTAATTAGGTCATCGCTGTTATATCTGGAAAGAAGAAGATGCTTTCAGGGCTAAAATTCATACCGCGGGATCAAGTCGACAAAGTAAGTATCCATTTCTTTTTTTTTATTATTTTTTTTTTAATCTTATTTATTTCATTTTGATGTTCTAAATTGTAATCAGATTCTATTATGTGATGTTTTATTTATCTTTAGCTCGTGGAGTCGAATGAATTCGTCTGATAGATATAATGTCATCTTGATGTTCATCGTAGCTAAGGGCTTGCTGCTTTTTGTTTATTCTGTTTTCGTTTTTGTTTTGTTCAATTCCTAGCTGGTTGTAGGAAATAACACTTTTCTACGTGCTCACGAGCACTTGTTTAATTGTTTTTGAAGGCACAAGATGAAACACACAGTGATTCGAGTGAAGAGACTAGAAAATCAGGGCATAGAAAGGAAAAGGGTGCTAGGAAAAAGAAGCACTCCCGACTCAGTAGCCCTCATGACGAAGGCCTTGAAAGAATAAAAAGTGGGTCTAGAAAGAAAAAGAAGTGGTATGATTCGAATGAGGATATTTCTTCCTTTTCAGAAGACAGTAGTAGCCAGAATGAACTGAAACGTCACAAGAAGAAGCATAGGAGATCGAAGAAAGGAAAGAGAAGGCATGATGACAGCTCGGATGATAAATATGAAAGTCGGTCTAAGGCAAAATCAAGGGGACGAAGAAAAGATTATACATCAGACAGTGAGCCTTCTAGTGGTTCTGGAAGGGAGAAGTCTCATGGTATGCATTACTTGAAGTTTACTCTGATCTCATCTTATCTGACGTTTATACTTATTCTGTCTGCTTTGCCATATTAATCAGATGACAGTAAAGGGTCCCGGCCTCTAAATTCGAATGACATTGTGAGGAAAGAAATGGGATTGGAATGGATGCTTCGGCCAAAGGACAATATGGAGAATAGTTTCAGTAACACTCCTCTCATTGAACCTAAAGAAGCTGTAACTGAAGAAGTATGTTTACACTCTTTTTTTCTTTTTTCTTTGCATGTGTATGTGTGTGTCTTCTAGCGAGAAAATATGCATTCTGTCAGACATGCAAATGTTCAGTTGACATTATATTCGTATGTTCTGTACATAACCTAGCGGTAAGATTCGGACTTACTAGGGTCAGTTTCTCAATCTTCATTCTCTTTCAGTTCATGTTTGAAGATATTTTCCACAAGAATGGCCATAAATAGAAAATTTATGGTGTGCCTGGACCTAGGGGATTATGTCCTCTTTTAGATCTATAAAGATTTTAAGTGGTTACAAAGTGTCTCAATAACCACTATAGAGATATGCTTCAGCTCATGTTTTATTTTTCACTGCATCATGTTATAAGCTTTTAAGAGTGATGTTAGCCAACCTCATGCCTGGTTCCCATTTTTATTTCTCTTGTGACATCTTGCTTTGTGGTTTATATTCTTATTTTTGCCATTGTTATGTCGTTCTGTGTTGTTTTTGTTGGAATCTCACTTGTGAGTTGTACCGCATTGCTTTTATATTTTATAGGGTATAGGGTAAGTGAGCCTGGTTTATAAGCTGGGTTACTCCACCCATCACCAATTGGTTTTGGGATGGAACCTCACTAAGGTGCCAAGTAGGCTCGCCTTCTTATGGTGTGCTTCACTCTTGTGGGACCGCACCTCTTCCTCTGACTACATAAATTTAACAGTTTTTATGCTCGTTATCGTGTAGCCTTTGTTAAGTTGATTGTCATTGTTTACTGTCTCGTAATTGATAATTCTTGGCTTTGCTGAACTAAATATATAGAGTTGTGTTACTTTTTTATTATTTGCATTTCTTTATTTTCTGCTGACCAGCTAAGGAAGGATAATCCCAGAGAACTAAACCCGTATCTGAAAAATAATGGCATTGGTTATCCAGACGAGTCTGATGATCAGAAGCCTGGGGATCAACAACTTCTATCAGACACAGTCGTTGGTGATGGAGGTGCTAGCTGGAGGCTTAAAGCTTTGAAAAGGGCCCAAGAGCAAGCAGCTCGTGATGGACGGAAACTCGAGGAGGTATGAAAGAATTACTTGTCCGTAGCTGTTTATTTCTAGTATCTACTAAATCTATTGCAATTTGTATCTTAACAGGTAGTTGAAGAGCGTTGGGGTTCTATGGGTCATCTTGCTGCTTCTTTGGCTTCTCAAAATGTTGCACCAACATATGCCCATCTCCAAGCCATTAAGCATCGGAGGAAAGGGTTATTAATGGAAGAACAGAAACATATGGATGAGGAAACTAGTAGGAATGAGAAGGTAATTCACCATATTTTATCACATTCTTGAAGCTTTTGTACATTTCTATGAAATATTTGTTCAATTTGTTTTTCATTCAATCCTTTTTAACGAGTTACTGCATGGCAGTGAACTATTTTTTTTTTTTCTTTTACTTTTCCTTTGGCCATCCTGGACCTGGTGGTTGATCATCTCTTCATCATGATTTCCCCATCAGTAAATATAAAACATTTCTTTTATAATTCTTAGCTTCAGATTAGCCTTTGGTTTCTACGATCTTAAATTAAATTAAGTATATTTGGTCATCCAGCACAAGACGATGCTGCTCCGACATGTTATATTTTGGTTTTTATCAGGATTCTGGACAGAAGAGCACAAGGGATGTCCTTCGGCATCCAAAAATGCGAATTCCAAAATTCCACGATTCTTTATCTTGGGGAAAGCAGGGAAATAAAAATAAATTGTCAGCGGAGGATAGTGCTCTTGTTTCTGTCGCTCTCTCGAGTTTAAATAAGTCTTCAAATGATGGAAATTTATCAGCCAAATCCATGCCCAAGGAGAATCATTCTAGCAAGTCTAGTGATCCTACAAACTTTGAAGCAACAGCAGAGCCATTTGAGAATAGAGAAGATAGTGGAGCAATAAAGCCGTCCATGAGTGCAAATCAGTTGGCTGCCAAAGCCATGCAACTTCGTATGAAAGGAAAACACGAGGAAGCAGAAAAACTGTTGGTGCGAATTTATTTTTACTGCAATTGCTTTTTCACTTGATTGCCCGAAGTCCTACGTAAGATATTGCCTAAACGAAACTTGAATTTTATTATCTCCATGCAGTTATAAGTCTATTATGCTGCTTTTGTGGCTTCATCATATGTCTAATTCTGATTTTGGATGTCAGTTGGGGGCTTTAGACAAGACTGATGGTTGTATATATTAGAAATTTTCATGTTTCTTTTCAGTAAGCTCAATTCTTTGATATCAATCCGAGATAAACTATCCAGTGTCCACAAGTTAAAATATTGTATAGAATATTGATACCGATGCCACAATGTTACCAAATATGATTTTATTTTATTATTTTCTTTGTTTCTTTTGTTGTCTTCCTTTTTCCGAAGAAATTTGATTGTTGTTTAAATTAGGCAGTTATTGGGTTGACTCCATCTAATACATTCATTTTCTTTCTTTCTTTTTTTTTTTAATTATATCTTGTGATCTCATCTAGTCATTTCTCTTAATTCAGAAGGAAGCTGAGGCATTGAGAGAAAATCAAAGTGTTGGTGATGGACCAAGCACAAAGCGAATTGATGGGACCACAAGCAGGTACTTATGCATATTGCCATTACAATGAACTGCCTTCATAATTGTATTTAGTCCGTCATTCTGTTTCTTATCTTTGTTTGTCTTGATTGTGTTCTGTATCTAGGTTTATCCTGCATGATGCTTCCGCAAGGCAAAAGAAGAAAGAGGATAATGCTGATCTGCATCTGGCTCAAAAAATCATGCATAATCACCGGTACAGCATATCCAGTCAGGCGGATGAAGAATATGACTATGATGATGGTCCCAGAAAAAAGGCTCGGAAGAAAGGAGGGTTTAGCTGCCATAATAAGTCGTCTGAGATTACCAATTCTGCTAATCGCTTCTTGACTCAGCAAGATAGATGTCAGTTCTGTTTCGAGAATCCAGCGAGGCCAAAGCATCTTGTGGTCGCCATTGCTAACTTCACCTACTTGGCCCTACCTCAACAACAGCCTGTCGTCCCGGGTCATTGTGGAATTTTGACCTTGCAGGTGACTTTCATCTCTCTCTCTGACACTGGGAAAGTGCAGGAATGTAAGACTTACTTACAGTTAATACAGGTTTCTTTTTAAAAATTAAAATATTAATTAATTGAATTAATTTGCATGTTTTCTCCATTGTTCTTTTATCCACAAAATCTGTTAACTTCTTTCTGGAATCTTGTTTGGCCCTTCAAAATTCGGTTGATTTAATTTCAGATGCTACTTAAGGAAAACCATCTACATTAAGATGTTAAGTAATATGAAAAATGCTGTTCTAAACCTAAATACTTGAAGTCCCTTGTGCATAATTGTTATTGTTCTGTCATTTTTTTCTTCACATCGTTACTCGTAAAAGCTAACTATTTACTATCTTATCAGAAAATTAACCGCCATTCTTTCAAGATTTTGTTGTATATATATATAACCTTTGCACTTTTTTTCACACTGAACAGCACGAATCTTCCTCGAGAACCGTGGACGACAACGTGTGGGATGAGATCCGGAACTTCAAGAAATGCTTGATAATGATGTTTGCAAAGCAAGAAAAGGATGTACTGTTTTTTGAGACGGTAATGGGGTTGGCACGGCAGAGACGCCACTGTATGGTTGAGTGTGTGCCTTTGCCTCGTGATATTGCAAAGCAGGCGCCCGTTTACTTCAAGAAGGTAAAATCATGTAGTCTGTAAGCTATATAATTTTTTTCGCTGATTAATAATTTGCTACTGCTAGTGGCCCATTTTGCATTTTTCTTTCCTTTGTGTTTTTTTTTTCCCTTGTTATATTGATGTGCATCATAGGTCACTGGAAATTGGAGGATCTGAACTGGATCTTCTTATCATTCTCTTTCATCCTGAAGTCTTAACATTGTTATTGAATGGTCTTCATTTTTATTAACTTTACCCTAGTTTCTCCTGCTTAAAAAGAATCAGAATGAACTACATGAATGAAGACCTAAAGACTGAATTTATCGCAGAAAGAACAAAAAGACTTCGAAAATTTTACAAAACCATCTTAAGGTTTTATCTTATCCTACATTTTCTCGGTTCATGAACATAACAAAAATCTCCTCCAACCACCAATTCACGACATTTATGAATTACTAAATTTCTTTTTAATGCAACACAAAATCAAACATATTTTGTGCTCTTCTTTGGATAATTTTCCCATTTATTATTAATATACTTTAAAGTTCCAGGCTTCTTGGTCATGATGGCAACCCAAGTTGGAATACATATTAATTTCCTAACAAGTATGGTTTCGCTACAGGCAATCGACGAAGCTGAAGATGAGTGGAGCCAGCACAATGCAAAGAAATTGATAGACACGAGCGAGAAGGGGCTGCGTGGGTCCATCCCCAAGAACTTTCCCTACTTCCATGTGGAGTTTGGACTCGATAGGGGATTTGTGCACGTGATAGATGACGAGAAGGAATTCAAGAGCAGCTTTGGGCTAAACGTGATTAGAGGCATGCTCCAGCTTCCAGAAGAGGATATGTACCGTCGAAGGAGGCATGAGTCGTTTGAGGCTCAAAAGGAAGCAGTCTCCAGTTTTGCCCAGCATTGGGAGCCTTTTGATTGGACAAAGCAGCTGGACTGATACTTTTTTTTTTTTAATTGGTTCAAACATCTGTAGAAACAAGTGTACTTTGTTCAAGTTTAATTGAATTGTAACCAATTGAACCTTAACCATTTGGAGGTGAGGAATTTGTTCAAGTATACTCGACCAAATCCCTCGACTTTTACTAGGAGACGAAATCTTTAAGTTACTGAGGCTGATGCCGGGAATGAATGGGTACTTTTGTCTGCATGCCGGGTAAGAGCAGAGGTGGATATTTATGCTCATAAAAGAACTTAGTTTTCATCCGCCTGACATATGAGAGAGATACCAGAGCAGGGGCGTATCTAGATTCAGACGAGTGTAGGCCTAGACCCACACTGAAATTAGAGTGAAAAAAATTCTGTGACTTGTGTACCTAAGGCGCAAGAAATAGCTTATACATGATCAATTAAAAATAATAATAGAAATTAAGAAACATTATCCTGGTGCAAAGAAAAAAAAAGCATGGAGATAAAAAAAATAGGGAGATAATGGAAAAATAATTTATTGTTGTTATTTGATTTTAGTGAAAGTGGATCCAACCTTCCTTTTATTAGGTTTTAAAAGAAAAACTTGTAAGTTATTTGTACTTTGTAGCATTCTTGTAGTTAATTAATTATTTTTA